CTGAACCATGAAAATGAGGTCAAGGACAATGGACATATGACAGACGGAAACTGCGTAACATAAGGCATCTATATACAAAGTATGAAGCATCCAGGTCTTCTAGCTTCTAAAATATAAAGCTTTTAAGAAGTTGGCCGCCGGATCACTATCCCAATGTCGAGCTTTCTGCGACAAAAGTCGCAGGTTCGACAAAAATGATGTAGCAAGCAATCAGCCGATATAAAAATTTTAACAAGGTAAAAAAAAAATTAAACAGTTTAGGATATGCAATAATATGAAATTATAAAATTTGTCATGCTTTAATATTGATAGTGTTTATGTCATTTTGACAGTATACGTGTCAAAAGTACTTTCCAGTGAAATGATTAGTCGGTCGGTACAGTGTATTAATATTCAACAACAAATTTTTAACTTTATCTGAAAAATATCAATTGAAAAACTCTTTAATCACAATAAAGTGTTATTATGTTGTAACATTCAAACAATTTTAAATCACAACAAACTGTAATTATATTGTAACATTAAAACACTCTTCCGTATTTTGATGTATTAAAAAACCACAAATATAATTGATACTTTATTGCTCACCCAATTTTGTAAATATAACGGAACTATAAACAACTGTCATACAAGTGGAAGGTTTAACAGTAGTCTAACGATGTTGATCAAATTCATAAATCGATTAAGAGACAAATCGAGGTAATAAACAAAAAAATAAGTGAATCGCATGAGAAAAAGTAGCGAGCAATTCGTTCTCATTAATAAGACTGTAATTTCCTCAGCTTAAGTTAATTGTATTGGGAACAAATGATCAGTTTGGATTATCTTAAAGCTCAACAGTGCTACTGCAGATGCTGTTAGACCACTTTAAATTAAGAAGTCCAAAGGAAATACATGTTTTTGGTCGTTAGATATGAAAAACTGTTATCTTGTGAGTCCATTTGAATCGAATTTGTTGGTTCCTTAAGCCTATCAATGAATATGCTGAAATATATGAACCCTGTAACAATGAAACGACAATATGAAGATAACCTTTAAACAATGCTTGAAATAAATTTTTCATATCATTTTGTTTCATTAATTTTTTGTTGGACAAGTTAAAGTTTGGAAACCTTGTGTCAATTTCTTGATAACCCTGTGGATCGTTTTAAATATAAAACAAATGATTTTGAATACTAGTGATTTTCTTTGCTCTTACTTTAACAAAGAGTCAATGTATAAAGTGCATATAGGAAATACATTTCCCACTCAATTGGTATTCAAGAGCTTGCAGCTGCAACACAGACTTTATAAAACGTCGCCAGTGTCTGAGCAGATAGTTGATGAACCAGGGTTATGTCAAAGAACGTCTCGTCTATTTTCTAAAGAGTTCATCGTGAGAAACCAAGGCCTTGTTGATAAATCTTCCGTATCAACTTCACAAATAATACATGATGGTCTTAAAGTATAAATTCTAGGTACTGGCGTTATTGATCATCTTAATAACTTATTCTTTTATTTGTCTTTAATTTGTAAATCATAAACCTTTACTGTTTAGTCCAATTTTGGTAATATACTTTTGGCGTGACTCGGTACTTATACATCCCGCCATTGTGTAATTCTACTATGGTCATTTTTGTATTTTTGTCTTTCATTTTTGCTTATGTGCTTTGTCTACATGCCATTTTGTTTTTCTTTGTTTGCATATTTGTTTGTTTTCATAGACATTAAGATTATAACATAATGTTGACTGCTGTACCCCTATTTTCAACATGTTTACCAATAATGTCTGTTTGTTTTGTTCACACATTGTTGTCAATATAATTGAATTTTTTGCGACTGTCATACAAGAGAAAGGTTTAGCTTCCTATAAAACCAGGTTTAATCCACGATTTTCTACATAAGGAAATGCCTGTACCAAGTCAGGAATATGACAGTTGTTTTCCATTTGTTTGATGTGTTTTAGCTTTTGATTTTGCCATTTGATATGGGACTTTCCGATTTGAATTTTCATTGGAGTTCCGTATTTTTGTTATTTAATTTTTTTATCACATGCAATATGAATATCAGGATGATACGAAGTAAAAGACGATGAGAGAGCAACACAACAACATAACACATCTAGAAAAGACAGCTGGCACAATTACTTCATTCCTAATGAAGGGGAAAACAGAAAAGTGCTTCAGACGCACCAAATTTATGAAGCGTTATTTTAATTATCAGCACTGGGTAGATTCCACTGTTCGTGAACTGCCTATCACTAGGGTATCATCAGCTCTGTAATCAGTGTTTAGATGGTTTATAACATAACTTTCATAAATTTTCCGTTCATAATTTTAGAAATTATGAAAAAACTAAGATTCAATCTCCCATGTCAATGGGTAGATCTGGCTATACTTTTAAAGAGCTCTTCAAATATTTATATATCATCGTCTTTAATTCAAAATGATGGTGTTGAGCAATTTGAAGGTAAATCAAGATAGCTCTCCAAGTGCACAAAATTTATAAAGTGTTATATATATCATTTTATTGCAAGATCAAGATAATCGCAAAACAAAATGCAAAACAGTCAACGCTTAACCTTTATAAGATAAGGGGGTGCGACATATGATTGCCAATGAGATAACCAACAAATAGATTCCAAATAACATAGATTTAAGCAACTATTGTATGGCCTTCGACAATGAGCAAAACCCATGACGTATAGTCAGCTATAAAAAGCCCAGACAGGACATTTCATAGAAAATGTTCAATTTTTGCATCTTGAAAGAGAGGCAAAAAATACCAAAGCCATGGCTAAAAAAGAAAAAGATCAACAGACAAATAACAGTACCATAGAAAACTAACGACTGAGCAACAAAAACCCCACCAAAAACTGGTGGAGATCTCAGCTGCTCTAGACGGGTAAGCAGATCTTGCTCCAAAAGTGCCAATTGACCTGGCTAGGCTAAAGTTTTGATCATTTTCGGTTATATCAGCTCGTCAACATTTGTATAAGGTTTTCAATTTTCAATTAACAAAACATTTGGTCTCTAGAAACACTTCAGTGATACTTTGTGTCAAAACATGCTTTTGGCGTAAAAATATGGCACCGTTTATATCATTAATATATTTATTTTCTGTGAATTCCCATTCATAAAATCTGAATCACCTTGATTGCCACAGGCTAAGACTGCCTTAGCCGTAATTGGCTCAACTTTTTCAAAATCTGCGTTTTTTTACTTTAACTTCGTATACATGTGTATGATGTTTCCTTCTAACTGTTTTGATTCGGGCGAGACTGTTAAGTCTAATAAAGACGGAACGCACGTCTGACATACAAATAAGCCTGGTATATTTGATGAGATTTTTATGTGGTTAAATTAAATTGATAGCATCCGTTAACTTTACATACATTAGTCGAGTTGTTGTCACTTTTACACATTCCCCGTTTCCATTCTCAATTTTATTTGACGTTTACATAACTGTCCGTTTAATTTTAATTTCATATTCACATTCTAAGAACAGCACAATAGGTTGATTGAACAAATGACAAGACAAAGGCTATCGGACCGAAACATATAACACGAAGACATTTTATCCTGATCCACATATGACACACACTATATTATGTTGATACGCTTGTACACATGTCTTATTGTTTTATTCGTTGCGCCGTTTTTGTATGTATCATCGTGATTCAATTTGTCAAATCGCTAAATTTAATGTACATAATCATCATCTTTTATTTTAAGAGACATCAATTGTAGTTAAACTTAAAATAGAATGATTTCATAGGGGTTGCATTGTCAGCTACATCTATTGTTTTAGAAATGTTCATGTAATACTGATTATCTAGCTGCAACCACGTAGAAGTAAATAAAAAAAATTGAAAACATAGGACTTATTGCATTTGACACTACAATTATTTTCTAGTTTAGTAGGCATTTGTGAATAGATATCAACCATGGACACAAAAAAGAATAAAACGGGTATTGTCTAGGAGCGTAGTAGGTATATACATTTGTAAAGGTACGTAATGGGTTATCTAAAGAAATTAAAACATAATGCAAGCAACTAGATCATAAGGAATTGCATATGAATATCGAATAAAAGATCTCTGTAATCCGAACACTTTTCGAGGTCTAACAAATTAAATATCAGAAAAAATAGAAGTACAATTGTATAAAAGACATGTTAATATTACAAAAAGGTTAAAACAATTTCTCTAATTCTTCGTCAATTTATCCCTTTCTGCACCCATTGTATAAAAAAAATTCAATCAACGTGTGGTTCGTTTGATCTCAGTTCTTCATTGGTTAAAATCCGATTATGACGTCGAATTTTCTTGCTTTCCTCTGAATTTCCTATTGTGACGGCATGAAAAAATGCGACCATGCCTGATGACGTCACATAGAAAGAACACATCTTTTTACAGATCATTCAAAAAGAAGGAATAAATTTGCCTACGTATTGTTGAAAATCATTAGAGAAACAGATTCCACCGCCAAATCTCGTGTAATACGATATTTATCCACTCTCGGCAGTTAAATTTTAAATATTTAAAACGCTCGGCGAGCCTCGCGTTTTAAATTTGAAAATTTAACTGTCTCGAGTGGATAAATATTGTATCACACTCGATGCAGTGGTAGAATCTATATTTAACTTGAAATCAGTATTCCTCGAAACCTTGTTATACGAATTTGATTTAAAAATGATATGTTATTGTCACTGAAATTTCTGTTTTATTGATAAAAAACTTTGATCATTGAATTAAGTTTAATTTTAGTATTGATAGTCGAATCATCTGAAACGCATGAAAAAGAACTGAAAAGGAAAATAGTCAGCGTGAAATAGTGATTGCAATGTACATAGTAATATCATTTTTCTATGTTTGTTTTAGATGTAACACATGCACTAAAATGATCAAAACCAAAAAAAAACTTACTTATGAATTCAAGTTTGCATGCACCTAGTCAATCAAAATAAGACTAATTTATACATGTAATAAAGTGTCATTCTATTCAAGTTTTAAATGTTGATCAAATAATAAATATGTTCATATGTCAGCAAAATACTTTCAAAAGTCATTTGTTTATGGTCTTTAATAGATTTGGTAGTAGGATGCATATCGACAGAGCATTGGTAAGTATTGTTTTTTTGAAAATATTTAAGTTTTACCAGTTAAGTCGTATGCTTTGTAATTTTACCAAGTGAATCCTATTCCCGATTGTGTCATGTTGACTGAATGTGGATTCGCAAGGCGGGCGATGCATACATAGCAGGAGACACTTACCCTGTCGACGCACTCGGTCTCGCTCCTTTTAGAGTTCATGTGAGACGCTAAGTTTTTGTTTCTTATCTTAATTTGACTCTTTTTAATCGATTAACGAGATTTAAACAGGGGTTAACTACTATCGCCTTAATTCTATTTTTGCTTTGACCAAAAAGAAAAAAAAACACAATTTTGTTTTCAGCTATAAAAAGAAAAACAAAAAGAAAAAAACTGTATGAGATATTTTAGTAAATTACTTACTGCTGCATCATATAATTATCGACCTTCATATGACATGGCAATGATAATTTCAAAGATCTGTGCAATAACGAGAAAAACTGTCTTATTAGAACTTTTAGCTAAATTTACAAAACTGTTTTCTGTTTATCAAGAAAAGTCGATGAAACCCTTCTGTATAATTTCAAATCATACTGCATGATTTTCAATACTGATCTTAATTTTTTACGGTATAAAGGTTTTACTATTTCCAACAATTGCATTTAGTTTCATAATAAAAAGTAACGAGTTTTCGTTAATATTTTTTCTGCATGTGTATCTTCATTTCTTCATCACAAATTCAATTTAAATAAAAATACCCTATCCAGTTGAGCTTAGATATGATCATCCTTGATCAACCTCTGAAGGTTGCATCCTTCTCTATTTACTAAATTTCTGAAAAAGAAAAAATATATATAAACCAACTTATTGTATTGTTATAAACAAGACCGTTAGTTTTCTCGTTTGAATTGTTTCAAATTTTTCATGTCAGAGCCTTTTGTAGCTGACTCTACAGTAATTGTTTTCGTATTGTTGAAGACCATACAGTGACCTATAATTGCTTATATTTAAACCTTTTAAACCCTGGTGGATAATTGTCTCATTTTTAATCACACCGCATCTCCTTTTTTTTTTTATGTTAGACAGATAATCTGTATATGTAACAAAACGTAAGAGAAAGTCAACATATTAATACGAAAGTATAAAGCTAAAAATACATTTTTATGAAAAATAAAAATTGGTTTTGCTCATAACCACCTGTATGTTTTTATACTTATGTGTGCTTGTGTAAATACTAAAAAAGAAAAAAGTCTGCCTCAGCAATGTTGAATGCTGTTATTAAGACATAGTTTGATGGATTTTATTTGTAAATTCCCTTTTGAACTAACTGTTTAATATTTTTTCTATGTCATGGACAGGACCTGACATTCAAAAATATCAGGCAATGACCTCACGTAAGAGTGATGCAACGTCACGTGTTCATGTCCATCTGCGTCAATCTATCATTGAAATGCACGCGACTTCATTCAAAGAAGCGAACAACTATCACAACGTTTTGTTTTTGGTGGGGTTCGTGTTGCTCAGTCTTTAGTTTTTTATGTTGTGTTTTGTGTACTGTTGTTTGTCTGTTGGTCTTTGTTTTTGTCATGGCGTTGTCTGTTTATTTTCGACCTATGAGTTTGAATGTCCCTTAGGTATCTTTCGCCTCTCTTTGTTCGATTGAAAATAGTTATATATAGTATATGATAGTATATTCTATTAAAAAAAAAAAAAAGACCAACGACATTTAGTTAAGACAAATTACGGAAAAATGAATAATGGAATTTTATTTTTTTTTTATTCTGACTACATCTGCTCGCTCCAGCAGGCAAACTTGATATATTTGCTGATACAGTCAGTATCAAAAACAAAAATGTCATTACTCTATATCTGTTAAGGTATATTTCTAAATTTAGATAATTAACAATTACTGTCGAATGTAACGCTACTTTTAACGCCGTTTTCATTTTACCATTGTTAACGTGACTATATCTTTTGTCACTATTATTATGTAATACGTTATTATATTGAGTTGAGATTACACAGTAAAACCAAATAGACGTTGTTTACTCTCTGTCCATACATCGAGTCTTCCCATCCGTCACTTTGGTGCCTTGAACAGAAGATATAATGACTAAAAGAAAACCATTAGAGTGGGCCATCGATGAGCCGCAAGAAAATTATTTTCCAAGATAGAAGAAGTGTAAGAAAAATCAACAACACCACGCGACGAAATTGAAAGTTTATGTGAAACTTTGAAGAAGAAAAGGGACATTCTTAATCAACTGGACAGTTAAATTCTAGAGAAATAATTGAGAAAAACATGAAAGCTGAGATAGATGAGGCAGATCGTTACTTTTTAGATGTTGAACTTATTTTGACAAAAGTACGCAATACATCAGGCTCAAAACAGAAAAAAATCAGATCGTCGATGAGCGCAACAAATTCTAGGATCTATCATAAGCTGCCAAATCTGAATCTTTCATATTTTAATGGCAATTTGTTAAATTTGCAACCTTTCTGGGATGCTTATCAATAAACAATACATGATAACCAAAAATTAACAGAAGTACAAAAGCTTACGTATTTTCAAAAACAAATTAAACGCATAGCCGCACAATGTATCGCCGGATTACCACTAACTAGTGCAAATTTCTATCAAGCCGTAGCGATACTGAGAGAGAGGTTTGGTCAGAACTACAAAATGACGAACGCATATATTGAAAATTTGATTGATTTGTCTGCGCCGAGGTCAAAACCGGACAGTTTGAGAAACTTTTCCGATAGAATTGAGTGTAGCATACGGAGTTTAGAATTTTTAGGAGTGCACATTTGGAACCATTCTCACGCCTTTAATACATATTAAAGTACCGTCTGATGTACGAAAAAACATAACCCAAGACCGCGAAAAAGATAACTAGGACATCGAATCAATGAGGGGACTAATAAAGAGGGACGTATGCATACAGGTCGCAGGAGAATCTATTGGTCCAAGTCATGAAGAATCAGACATTTTACAGATCGCTTCGTTTGTTGCCGGAACTATTAACGAAGAGAAAAACAGAAAACACTTTCAGTCGATGACACGTAAGACATGGTGTTAAAAAAAAGCTTAGAAATGGAAAAATATTAAATACTAAACTTGTTCAAAGGGTATCTACACGTCTCAATCTTCAAAATCGCTTATCTAAAAATACTACCATCGCTAACATTTTTAACAATAAAAATCGTGGTTACCCTTCTATCGATAAGTGTCATGCCAAAAAATGACTTACATGTCCCCGTCTTTCCACCAACAATACGGTAAGGTCAACGTTTAATGGTCGCACATTTTCTTTTAATTTTGAAACTGATATAACTTGAAAAACAAACAGTATTATTTATTTACTCACATGAAACAAACCGGGATGCGGTATTCAGTACGTAGGTGAAACTGGACGATATTTATCTAAACGCACGCAAGAACACCTGTATCGTTTTAAAAGACCCAATAAATTCAAAAGTATCATTTATCAACATCTTAAAAAGCACAATCATCCTATTAAATATTTAACAGTTCAACCTTTAGAAGTAGTAAATAAGCAGCCTGGTGAATCTCATTCAAAGTTTGTACGATCACGGAAAATAATTGAATTAAATTGGATTAAAAAATTACAGACAGTCTACCCTCTCGGTCTTAATGATAACATCATGGGAATTGGTAATATATCAAGAACCGATTTTGTTAACATTTTGGATATAGTTTCTAAAACTGTTCGTAAAAACCGTTCTCATGGGCGTAGAAAAAATCGCAATCAAAGAAAATTTCGGACCAACCATACAAATATTTCGGACCTAATTTCCATTTCAAAAAACAACGGCAGAAATTATCTATTAACCAAGCTCTGTTCTTTACCTATAAATAAATTAAATAAAATTATAGAGGATTGCAACACAATTTCATATTGCAGTCCTAAGTATGAAATCGTTCAAATTATAATGGCATATTGTTATTCTAAACTGTTTCCCAAAATTGATCGCCCTGAAGATCATAAAAAACATTTTATTAAAATAAAGTATTTCAATAAAGGTTTTGATTTTGTAAACATTGCCGGTATTTTTAACGACCATTCTGTTAAGGAACAAATTCCTGGATATTTTGATAATACTGAACTCCCTCTTATTTGTTATATTTACAAGAAATCTACCCGAAAATTTGTGTTTAATTATAGCCAAGTCTGTAAAGATGTAAATATCAGTGAAAATACACCTCCGTCATGTAATTGTAGTAATTCCGAATACACTTATGGCCCCATTTCCCATGTTATAACAGGAGACCTTAACATCGTTCGCGACCGAGAGTTAAAATCATTCCTCAGTAAAGGACCTAAATATCGCCCACCGTCAATTATTAATTGGAATGAGTGTCGTAATATCATCCACGACTCACTTCGTGCTTACTGTTTGAAATGGATAAAACGGGAAAAAGCTGACAAAAAATCTTTGGACTCTTTTTTTAATTCAGTAATGAAGATAGTTGATATACGTATACAACATTTTAAAGAACATTTTACTCTTAACAACAACCATAAAAATCCTATTTCTCGTATCAAACATAAACTAAAAGAACTAGCCAATGAATTTGTTTTTGTCCCGGCTGATAAAGCTGCTAATAATATCATTATAGTTTGACGTAAATTTTACATTGAGGTTCTGCAAAAGGAAATCACGAATTCGCCAACATTCCAACTGACTTCATTTTCAGAAAACGATATATGTAACAAACATAAACTAGTAGCTACTTCTTTACAAGCAGAACCAAATACAATGAAAGTCCCAACTATGTACTGGCTTCCGAAGCTACACAAATCACCTTACAAATATAGATTCATTTCGTCTTCAAGTCATTGTTCCACTACTAAATTGTCTATTCTACTTACTAGCACACTTGGTACAATCAAAAACCTGATAATAAATTGTTCAAATAAGGCCTTTGAAAATAGTGGAATTAACTACTTTTGGAGTGTCAAAAACTCGTTGGAAGTACTTGATAAATTGCATGCATATATTGGTG